CCCAGAGCACAGTTCTCACTTGTGCTGTATACAGGATTTCTTCTCCAAGCTGCCTCAGCCATCCACCTGCAACAGATACTCTAATATCCCTTTCCCTCTCCCTCATTCTTCCATTCACCAGGGGACTAGTAGATATGGATCCTTACTTTGCGGTCTTAAATGGCAGATCTCCCTCTTTCCACCTTCGTGTGTCACTCCCACTCTTCCTATATGAAAGTTGTACTCAGTTAAGATGTTCCTCCTCTCACTCTACAGCTTATTTCCCAGTCCTGCAGCATCCAGACACCCTGCACACCAGCCTTTGGAAGAAGTTTTGTAAGTGGAAGAGATGAAATGCTGCAGGTGTCTCAATCAGGCAAAGACTTTTTTAGTTATGGCAGCAGACAGACTTCTGGACACTTGTGACTGCAGTGGAAGTGCCGTTTGATTTGGGTTTCTTGCACTGGAGAATTTTGGTAGTTATTCTGCTAGCAGGAAACCTTCAGCCCAGAGGTTCCCAACCTTTTCCAGATGGGGACCCATTTTGACAATTCAAGACAATTTGGTGACCCAAGGCAATTCAAAAATAGGGAGGGAGCAGAGCCAGCTGGGGCGACACTTGGCGACCCATATTTGGGTCCTGACCCATAGGTCGGGAAACCCCCGTGCTTTAGACAAATGCTCTCCTTACATAATTGTTAGTTAATACACTTTAAAACAGTGGTCCCCAACGTTTTGGGGCTGCCAGGTGCCTGGGCTGCTCACAGGCCACATGACTGGGGGCGGGGCCAAGCACGCGCCGTGCGCCCAGGGCCAATCATGCGCCGCGCGCTCGGCGCCGGCACGCACCACAACCCCAGGGCCGGGGCTGCCCATGGCTGGCACCTGCCGCACGCCCGGGGGCGGGGCCAGCCCAGATTGCTCCACAGGCGCACATAAATGGCCCGGCGGGCGCCACGTTGGGGACCACCGCTTTAAAATGTGTTATGCATACAGTGATTTCCTGCCATAGCCAAGTAAGGACCTGTATGTCCATTATATCTAACTACCAGCATTTACAGTTACAGCAATTGATGCAACTACAGGGTGTAATTACACCTGTACAGTAATTGGGTCATTTGATACCATAGTCAACATGATAATCCATCAATAAGACAAAGGAAACTCTCATAAGCCACAGACAATGCCACTAAAGCACATATGTGTGGTTCCTAGGCACCCTGCCATGTTATCTTACCATTGATGCCTGGGACCATCACAAATACTATCCCATCTGTTCCAAATGATCCCCATCCGGATCAGAGATTGCTTTTTTAATGGGTGGTTTGCCTCATCACCCCTAAATGCTTCCTTAAAGATGGCAGCCACACCCTGCTTAACTTTGCTACTCAACTACATTCCCTGTCCTTCTGCTTGAAAATGAATCCAATCAGAGCCAAACCCAAAGTTTACCTACATCTTGAAGCTTCCAAGTTTCTCGTATTTCTACCCTTTTCCCTTTGATTTTAGCTCACAAGAATGCTAACCCCACCAAGGCCCATTGAGCTGACTCAGCCCTGCCATGCTAAGATCACACTGAAATGCAGCAGGAGGATGTATTTGTCTACCATGCAGTTACTGACTAGCGCCATTCTCCAACACTCTAGGGCAGGAGTGGGGGACCTTTTTTGGGTTGGGGGGGGACACAAGTGAGAAAAAAAGAGCCTGGACAACAGCCCCTGGCCTGAGGTTCCTCACCCCTGCTCTAGGGTGACATTAAAAGGCCAGCACTCATCAAGCGAAACCTAACCGCTGGTCTGGCCACACACATGCTGGCTGCTCCGGGGATCATGACCGGTGGCTGCCAGAGCTGAAGCCAGCTGTTTGTGACAGCCGGGGTACACATTATTTGCATATTTATCATTTGCATAAGACAATGTTACTAGTCTGCCAAAAGTTTGTGAATGGGTTTGCCAGTCTGCGGTATAAAAAAAAGGTTGGGAACCACTGCCCTAGCTAACCTACATCTTCTCTTACCACTGTATCCCCAGCCCAGTTAGCTGGAGCATTTGACACAAAGCATCCAACTTTTCTGACAGCACAAGATAATTTCCCTTGTACTCTCTCAGACAGGACCTCCAGAAAACCAGAAATGATCTATTTTAGAAGGGAAGTTATATTCAAGTTACACAGAGATCCCTGATACACAAAACTGGCCATCCCATGTTTTCCAAAGGCTTCTGCATCCTATCATCCTAGGACCATGCTGTCCAACCAGAAGCAGTCTAGCCACACTCAACTGGCCAAATAGTAATAGGTGGCTAGTGTGTTGGACTACGGCCCAAGTAGCTCTGATCTACAGGCAGTCCCCGGGTTACGTACAAGATAGGGACTGTAGGTTTGTTCTTAAGTTGAATCTGTATGTAAGTCGGAACTGGCATCCAGATTCAGCCACTGCTGAAACTGATCAGTTTCAACAGCGACTGAATCTGGACGCCAGTTCCGACTTACATACAGATTCAACTTAAGAACCCCAGGCGTCCCCAAGTCAGCTGCTGCTGAAACTGATCAGCAGCTGATTCCAGGAAGCCCGGGGCAGAGCAACTCTGCCTCAGGCTTCCTGTAGTCAGCCGCTGGTCAGTT